TCTTTTTAAACTTTATTATTTAATTGTTCTATGCTTCACGTTCAGAGTCACATTTTGTACATTTCCATAAACTGTGTCTTGAGACTGATTGACACTGATTTCAATGGGATGGACAAAATAATAGGAACACCTGTCAAATGAGAGGTTTTACCGGATCCAGCAAATGTGTGGATCTACTGTTTTCTGTGTTATTTTAATATTGTAAAGAAATATAGTTTTGGGTTTTGGAACATTGGATATTTACACTTGACTTGACCTTTGAGGATCTGTCTTCAAAATAAGACGTGACAAACACCAGAACATGTTTCCAGCTTCTCTTGTTTGTAAGACTCACTGATTTTCTAAAGTTTCATCACAGAAGAGAATCACGTCTCAACCTCAGCACAGCGTCAAGTGTAATTATCACCTTTTCTGCACGTCAAACAAATATGAAAGGCAATATTTCAAACCTATTTGCTGTAAAACCAGACAACATGTGAAGATGTATGTTCTTCCACAGCATCTTATTCTCCACAGGAACTCAGATTACTCCACATGACATGAGACCAGATTAAATCCCACATTATCAAGCGAATATTCCAATTAGTAATCCAGATGTGGAGAAGAAATATTCCAAGACAGAGAAACAGGAAAAAAAACCCGGGAAAAGTAAAAAAAAAGTAGATCTCCGATGTGTTTCAGGCCATCGTACACTCCTCCGCAGACAGCGTAGATGCAAGTTAGGATGGGAGAAATAACCAAAACTGCCCGATGCATCAGCATAGACAGTTTTAATCCAATATATTCAGAGATCACTCCGAGTAAACGAGGACGAACGCAGGAAAATCAATCCGTGGCTTCAGGGTCAAAAATAAAAAAAGAACCAGTGACGTCATGAACCTGACAGATGTGTTTGCCCGCTGGTGAAGGTGACCAGCCTCTGAGCTCCTGTGAGGATCTGATGAGGTCGTGGCTCCACCGCCTCGAGGAAAAGTTCAAAATCTAAAGTCACACGAGCTTCACTCTTTTCTAACCGGATCTTTTTGCCGTCTCTGACTGAAAACTGCGAACCGGCTGCTTCAAACTTCAGTCGATCAAATACATCTCAGGCTGCTCAGCTCCGACTGACAGCCACTAGACCCGCCCCTCTGTGGGCTGTCCCTCCAAACAGGAAGCAGAGGGCGATAAACCAATCACACCCACTGTTTGAAACACATCACACACACCCACCCACCCACACACCAATGGAGACAACAAGGGGAGATAGCTCAGTCAGAAACCAAAAGATAATGTCTCTCTCTCTCTCTCTCCCCCAAACGGTCGAGTCTGATGTCGTCCATGTTGAATCTGGTTCTGTCTTCCAGTTAATGAGTTTCTCTCTCAGTCGTCAGAGCTGCTCATTGTGGCAACTTCTGGTTTCTCTATAATTTCTAAGGACTTTCTAACCGTCTATGTAATGAGCCTTGAGATAATATATATGTCATGATTAAGTGCAGTAAATAGAATTTAAAATGAACCTATAGACAGATTATCAAAAGGCTCTGTGGTCATGTGCCGACGTTAACCCACTTACCGAATATGTAGACGATGCCGACCGCTCCGCCCAGTCCCATTAGTCCCGCCAACCGAAGCACCATCTTCTTGGCGTAGGCCGTGTTTTCCTTCTGCTTCTTGTCCTCTGCCTTTTCTCCCTCCTTCTCGGTCTCTGCTCCCTCAGGAGGAGGCTGACCCTGCACAGGAACAAAACAAGATTAACTGACGTTTCTAGTTTCACCTCCTGCTCCTTTCACCTCTCATCTACTCGTGGGTGACTCTCATTTCAAAGTCACACGCGGTGTCATCAGTGAACACGTCTGATATCCAACTAAATCCTGTTTTTACCGAACAAGGTCATGTAGAGACGGAGTCATTACATTTCTATTATCCCGTCATCAAATAACTAACTAACACAAAACTGATGATCAGAAACATGAACACTTGAACAACAGTGTGATTAAAAACTACCTGAAATGACAGAAACCACCTTTGACAAACATTTACTGAAGAAGAAGAAGACATACTGTGTGTGTGTGTGTGTGTGTGTGTGTGCGTGGGGAAGGTTGAAGTGATGGGGGAGGACATGAAGGGGGCGGGTGTGTGATGACCTTCAAATCAAACAAACCTTGGCTGTGACAGCTCCTGTAGTTAAAACGAGCGCACACGGTCTGGTGAGTGTGTAGATGTGAGCAGCTGATACACAACATTATCACTGTGAAGGACTGAGCTGATGCTAACTGAGCTAATGCTAACCGTGTGTCTCCTGTCATCACACACACACACACACACAGTCAGTTCACTGTTAGCTGAAAACACAGAAAGTAACGTGTCCCTGGAGCAACACGAGCTAACACCCCCCCCCCATGCTAACACTAGCCAGTTAGCCTGTTAGCTAATGTCAGGTTCATTCATTCTGCAGACTGCGGTGAGCCGCCGGGGCGGGGCAGATACTGACCGTTTCTCAGAGTGAATGTGAATAAAACTA